AATTTTGTCGATGGGTTCTTTGAAAGCGTGCCGATCATTGGTAGGGAGGGGCGGGTAGAGCCGTGGAGACCAATTCTGGTTGAAGCTCCCAAATTCTGGTGGCACAGGTTTAGCTTCCAATGAGCCTTTCGTAGATTGACGAAGATATGTCACGCATGCGGAAGGACTGTTGGTGCTGTTGGCGAGGCTTGAGAGCGAGTGTGGATTGTCTAGGTCATAAGTTCGCCAGAAGTATGCCACGAAAGTAATGCTTAGCCCAGCGAGTGCACTATACTTGTGAGAAGGCTATTTCCAATAATTTTTCTTTGTCCAGGTACTGGTGTGTCCTAGAGGGTGGAGAGATGCGATTTTGGCGAAATCCTAATGACGAACAAGATGGAAAGGTGAGTCCAGTTTGCGCATTATTGTTTTGCATGTCCGATTGAGTGCACACTGCATGACTACCTGGGTGGTGGTGCTCCTTCTCAGGTACAGAGAAGGCCATATGTCCCCTTTTCGCCATTAGAAAGTGTGTGGCAAACATTTAGCTTTTGTTTTGCAACGCACTGTCGTGTGGCTGAAAATGGTGCATTTCTGCAGCTGAGGATGTACGCTTGTTGTGGATGGAAATAATGCACCCCTTCCCCTCCCCCCAGATAAAGATGTAAGATCGTAGGCGGCGTGTCCTTGGAAGCACTATACGTCCTGAAGCTGTAAAGGGACATTGCGGGCAGTTTGGCTTAGTAGGGGCACCGAAGGCACTCAGCTAACTTTGTACAGGCCACCTTGTAGAAACCTGTGAACTCTTGTGATCAAAATGGCCGAGGGTTTGCAGGTTTCTCTTGATGAGACCTATTATTCAGCATGAACTAACAAAGGGAATTGCCGAACGTGTTAATGCCCCTTCCAAGCCGGACACCGGAATGTCGTGTTAATCATTCATTGAACCTACCACATTCTTTTACGGTATCCTTTTGAAAGTATTTGCTTTCCAGCAATGGGTAGTACTGCTGGATCTACAGACGTGTGCCGGAGACGGAGCGTCCACTGTTCGAGACGTGTGCCCATATCCTAATTCGTTCCACATTGATGTGTGGGTGCCAAAAGAAGGATCTGCTCGGGACAGTTCCAGCAGACCTGAAGCTGGAGAAACTTCGGTAAGCTGTTCTCTCAGCTCAAAATGCCCATAGCGGCTGGTTTTTCTTTCAACGATGGACTTTTGCAGGGTAATGTTGGCAGCTGACACCAGTGCTCATTTGGACAGTTGGTTGGAAGTGATCAACCAAACGGCACGCCATGTACTTTTGTGGGACAGACCAAATGGAATGCCGAAGTAGTTTTCGATGTTCATCATCAATCCGAAGAGCCTAATAACTGTACATCCTTCTCAT